AAAATAAATGGTGTCAGGTAAAAACTGCAGTGAAGGTGAAAATAATTATATGGGTTGCAAGGATTATTTGAAGCAATTCCAGGTGTGGGGGTTGATCAAACCTGCCAATTTTTGATGTAAAAAGGTCATTTCACCAACACTTTTGGGGAGGTACTTTACCTCATGCATGCACTGGCATATCCACCACCACCCCCGACACCCAAGACAATACTCGAGTACACGGGAAGTATATATATCCCCTACGGGTATGGACTAGCTCCCCGCTATCAGTGAATCGTAGTTACAGAGAACACTCCCATAATAAACTTCAGCTTTTGCTCGGATCGGACGGGTGTCGAGTTAGTCCGGATAGTGACGAAAGAAGGCTAGCTGTGTGGTAGCCTAGCGACAGCTAGGATATTTCCAGAAATAATCCCAAATAATTATCTCGCGAAGCCAAGAGAATTACTAACCAGTACTTATACTCACCCCCTCCCCCTTACCGTGAAACGCATAGTTCACTCGTAAAATCCAGAGTGGCGCTCAACATATAGAAATAAGCTCAACAGCATGTCCACCGACGCAGTACCGGTACAAGTAGACTACGGTGCACCCCAACTGGCAAGCTCTCACTCGGGACCTCGAGCCTCGGCGTTTGCTCCCGTGGGCGTCGGCTCGCCGTGCAAGCAGCACTTTTGGCGGGCGATGCGGGAGTCCAGTCCCAGTAGGCATGACAGAAAGTGTAATACTGGGCCTGAGACATAAGGCAGCGACTACTGTATATCAGATGGTCCGGGCAGCGCACAGTCTTTTTTTTTTTCCCCGGAAGAGGAACGGTATAAAAGAATCTCTAGGCAAATGCGGCGATCCCGCAGGAAGCTCTCTTTCCTAATTGAGACCTAGTCCGAGATATCGTTGACTCCGAATTTCCTCTCTTCCTTGCCTCCCTTCTTTGTTTCTTTCTTCCATCCCATCCGGCCTGCAAGCAATGCCTGTTAGGTGGCTGTGGCCGGGGTAGAAAGAAGAATGAAATCTAGTGCTATGGGGTACCGGATGATCGGATGCGTACGGATGACAACAAAATGCTTGTAGATATAGCATACTCCAGGGGTCCAATCAACTGTATCTTTCTTCCTTCCTTAGGATCTGGTGGGTGTTGCTATGTTGTAATATGGGCGTTTGGTGAACGGGTCTGTAGTCTATCGAACGTACCAGAAACAATGCCGGTGGTATGACACGAATCAAGGTGCAGGGGATTCATCATTCTTGTAAATCACAGGATTGGGGTTAGAAGGTCGCATCAAAGCGTAGGATACAAACTGCAAAGCGTTACAACACAAGTCTAGGGATTAGGAGGGACCACTGGAGAATTTAATTACGCTACCCGACTAGTGTAAAGACGACACATGGTGCGGGAGAATATAATTGTAGCGATACTGATAGTCGCTGTAGAGTTGAGTATTTATTTATCAACCCCCGCTAGCCTCCCGGCGCCTCTTGAGTACCTGGATTACAGCGGTCAAGTAGTGACAAAAGGTAACTAGCCCCCACCCACTCCCTCGCTGCCTACCGACCCTCCTGGTGAAGTCACGCAGCAACGCTAGAGCCGCCCTAGCAATACGCATCGCCTCCGCTCCTTTGCGCAAAAATTCATATCATTTCAGCAACGACCCAATATCCATCCCTTCTGTGACAAAATATCCCGTCGCATTCGCCGAAAGGCCTGATCCGGCCGGTGCCTGGCCTCCACTACCCCCTCCTCCCCCTGCGTCACCCGGAGTGGCTGATGCGCTAGCTGCAGCAGCAGTGTTTGCTGAGGCGACGGTAGACGATGGGGAAACTTGGTATGCGCTTTCTGGGCTGAGCAGCGGTTGCTGGGCTGAGCCAGGGAGTGCAGTCATCATTGGCCATGCAGGACTTTGGTTTGAATCAAGGTTTATGCCTTGCATGAAGTTATCCCATTCGTCCTTTTGAGGAGGTTAGCTGAGGCATGCTATGGGAAAAGGGAGGGAAGTGGGGTTACCCAGTCCAGGCCGCTCGGTATATCTACTCCGCTCTGCGACCAGAATTGCGACAAGTTGTTTGAGCTTCCGCTCGGCGGTGCGCCGTATTCACCATTGCTCGCATCGCCCATGACTACATTGTGACCTCCCGGTGTCCGGGCGCTGTAGAGCATTGCCGCGGCGGTGTTGGGTGATAGCACGCTCTGACTCGTTAGACCTAACGACATAGCGGCCACTCCACTCTTTGTCGGATTGAGAGGTGTTTGGGGTGCTTCTGAAGCCGATGACGAGGGTGTTGCGAAGACCGGCGTGGCGCCGGCGATGGAGGAGGATGTAGAGTCTTGGGGAGTTGGTGGGACTCCGTCTTTCTCGGCGGCTTTGCGTGCCTCGAATGGACAGCCGAGTGAGAAGTCGAAGTAACCGGGGCCCCCACGGATCTTGTCGAGCATCACGGTTAGGATGCCGTAGGCTTTTGTGGCATCTATACTTGTACCCCGCTGCTCCCCGTAGATAAGTCGGGCTTTCTCGAGAACGTCGTATTGCTCGGCTCTTTCCTTGGCGCCCAGCAGGAAGCCCTGCTCCCCCTGCGTTTTGCTCCGATCCCTTGCTATCCTGCATTGAGTGCTTAGGTCCAGGCATATTATCATTGCTGCGTGTAAGAAGTCATGACATCCAAGGCCTTCCGTAAACCACCTTGCATGCTTCAGGGTGCTCTGCGTATCCAGTATTATCTCGGCTTGATGCTGCAGTAACACTAGAGCAGCCTCCACACACTTCTGTCTGCTCCTTTCATACCGGGGATTGTGCTCCGCTCTGGCAGCATAAGGCCTATGTAGCGTAGCCAGCGCCTTGTGAGCAATGAGATCTAGGTTGTAACGCTGAATGATCAGCCATGCCGGATCATCTTTGCATTCTTCTGTTGGTTTCAGTCGCAAAAAAGGGGGGACTGCAGCGTGCATTTCTCGAATCTCGGCGTCCATCTTGAGGATCTGGTCGTATGCAGGCCTAGCCTCAAGCGAGCTAGTCTGCGCAACTATACGAGAGTACACTTTGGCCATAGATGCCTTGGCGATCATGTACGAGACTCCAGTAAGCTCCTCTCTTGGCCTTTCTGGCGGCAGAACATCAACCCCTTCGCCAACCTCATCATCGTGAAGATTCATCGGCAAACGTGTGTCGCATTCCTCTTGCCTTATCATGCAGGGCAATCCAATCCTGATTGACTCGAGGACGTCCATGCAACAGATCATTGTCCATATCCTTCTCCGAATCTCTGCCTCGCTGGGTGCAATTGTGGATCCAAATTGCATTGGGTCTCGATGGAGCCCCATACACATCGCAACCCGGACCAGCAGACCCTGATATAGCCATGATTCCTCGACGTGGTCCTTGCTGGTCTGCCATGTGCATACCAGAATCAAGGCCTGTACAGTATGGATATACATCTTTTTGGTAAACTCCCCCACAATCAGGCACTGCTCAGTCGCTAGCTTGAACGCATACGACATCTCCTGCGTTTTTCCAGATATTTCAGGAGGCTCTTCCCCAGAATAATGGTAGATTTTCAATGAAAGGCACATTATCGCCATCAAAAGCCCTAACCAAATGAGATCAACCTGAGTCGGATCCCGCCAAAAGTCTTCGTATTGTTTGTAAAATGTAGGCCGGTGAAGGACATCTATATCGAGTCAGCCCTTGCGCTGGGAGGAAAAACCTTGTGGGATACATACGAAATATGGGATCATAGTTTCTGAAGAAGCCATCTACCAAGAGATCAACCAACTCCCGACGAGGCACTAACGATAAAAGCTCTTCCCTGCTAGGAGGTCTGCCGGCGTTAAACGGGAATCCCGTACGGTCAAGCTTGTTGGCACCCGCATTCTTGGCCTTCATGTATGCCAATTTCTCCTCCCAGCTTTGTTTTACTTCATTGAAGAAGTTTTTAACTTCAGATATCTGTGAGGCGATTCATCAGCTGCAAGCACAGAGATGGGAACCACGTTCTGCACCCCAGGCATCGAATCCAAACCCGCTTCTCTCAAGAAGCCAATTTGGAACGCCAGCTTCATTAACGAAGTGAATTTGGATTCTGAGGGTTGACGGGGTTCCCCAAGAATTATTTGACGCCAACTCCGAGCGCAAGGAAACAGTGAGCGACCCCCAACACGTACCTCTGATAAAATCGCTGCCCAGTGGGTTTCACCCCTGTAGTAGCTCTTTCCCTGGTCCACCTTCATGATTCCCAAGGCACTCCGTACCTCTTCAACATCCTCATCACTCTCCCCACCCCGGTGTCTCTCGTCCTCATGAATGCTACCCATTCCAACATCATCATCATCATCATCATCATCATCGGAGCGCTTGTTCTTGTTCGTTCCGTCATCAGCGCTCGCCGATCTTTCCCGGTCCACCGGCGGAGAAATATGATTACCGCCCGAACCCATCAACCTTAGGACCAGCCCCTCCAAGCGGTCGATTCGTGACTGCATTTCGTCCGACGAGAACCCATTCGACCCAGTCGATTGCTTTCGGATGCGGCCGGGGCCATTGACAGTCGATGCGTAAGTACAGGTCGAGGGGTCCCCACGGCGGGTACAGTTTTCACAGGGGTGGGAGCGGTTACATTTCAACCTATACTCATGTCATTAGCATTTGATGTGCCGCGAGCAAACCGCGAAAAAGGAGGGGAGAAAAGCGGAATCCCACTTTTTAGGAGGAAGGAATGTACCAGTGCTTACTTTCTATTACGACAGGGAGCGCATGAGAGGGGCACACGATTGCGCTTCCTGACAACCCTAAACGCGTTCGAGCCTTTAGCGCTAGCATCCTGAGGGGAGTGACTACTAGAGGAGGGTGGTGTCGGCGACATGACCGGGGTTGGAAAATCTCAGGGCTTATTGGTTCCGGTTCTGTTTGCCTTCCTCCGTCTACAGACGGAAAGGAAAATGTTGAGACGGAGTTGGGTGAAGGGGTTTGATCGAGGTATCTCGGTGGATATAGGGTTGGGAGGTGGGCTTCGGGGGTTGATATAGCTATACACGGCCCCCTATGGCTTGGGAGAGCGTGATATAGATTGCGCGATAGAGAAGGATTGGGGACCAGTACGGACAGGGCGGTGCAAGGAGTCGCAGAAACCGATATTTAATAATCAGAATTCGATTCCCCCGTTATGCGGGACTGTTGTCACACGTCAGTATCGTATATTGCGGTGGCACAGTGAGAGGGAGGGAGAGGGCGAGAGAAGTGTCAGAGGAGAAAGGGGATGGAAGAAGGCGGGGGATGGAAGCTCCGCGTCACAGGTCAAACAAGAAGAGCTAAGGACATAAGGTACTGCACCGTTCCAGGCTGAGATGAGGGACTAATGGGTTGTGTATCGCATGCGGTGGCATACCCTGCGCGAACAATAGTAGGGGTAAGGCTAGATGCACGACAATCCTTCGAGAGCAATAGGTTTGTTGAAACAGCGGTATTGGGAGCACCGAGGTGGTATCGTAGAGGTTTCTTCCTTCTCTCTTCTCCGGATCGAGTTCACAGAGGGAGGTGGGGGGGGAGGAGTTTTAAACTCGCAACCAGTAAAGACAAGGCGGTGGTGCGGCCAAAGATGGAGGAGGTTACCGGTACTGTGCTACCGGTGCCAGTGCATCACAATTTCTCCTCGCCGCTCCCGTCCATGCTCGGGCCGCTCATTGGCTGCTCTAACAATTCCAGAATTCCATACCCGGAAAACAACCCCCCATACTGGTGGGATAAAACATCCTCTTCTCACAGATTGGAAGACGATTGTACCACTCCGTCCGTATACCTCGGCCAACCTTAGACTCCTGTACACAAGTTTCCTGCGCGAATAATAGGCGCAAAGGCTCGGATCTCCGCTCCCCCCCAACTATTTCTGAGTCACTCACCCTCTTGCCCGTGAGCTGTTCCCTGCTTTCAGTGATTACCGCAGATCAGACCAGTACCGGCACCGGTACTCGATGCATGCCCACCATGAACTTTGGTTGGAACCTTTTGTCTTCCATGGGGCGTGCCCTCCGCCAGAAACAAGCTCTAGGCTGACTGACACTGACACCCGTACCGTACTCGCGCACAGTGTCCGTTCCCATGATACGGTAGGGGTTCGACACAAACTTTTTAAGTTGCCAGACCATCTATGCTGCCTCACTTCCTCTGCGCTCTTTTCTCGCCCATGCCCAAAGGAAGGGGAGTGAGCAAAAAGGAACCTTCGCCCGATTATTAATTATGTCCGCCCCTCCTCCTCTTATGACACAATACCGATAGTCTACAGTACCGATACGGGTCGAGTCCCGATAACCCTGTTTTACTCCAGTGTGTACGACCATCGTTAAACTTGATTAACAAGCAATTCTTGGCATTTTGCTTCCTTTTTTCTTTTGCAATTTTCGCAGCCAATTCTACCGGTATACCGGTATCCCCCCATTGGTTTGGGGCTCACTTTAATAATAGCAGAAACACATAAACTATGGTACTTGTACTGTACACTGGGAGTGAACCTAGATGATTCGGCCGGATCGGGACCGGTACGATGTCTCACCCCCAAAATGCGTGCCTTGGTCTACAGGTCTCTTTGCGTACAGTACAGTACGTTCGCTCGTGTATCATACGAAGTGCCCTGACTCAACTTCGAACCCAAAGATCACAGTCCTCCAGTCCACATTTCCGGAAATTGAAACGATAGATCGATGTGGCAGGTGCCCAGCTAAATTTCTGTGACCTTGAGATCAAAGAAAAGGGGAGGAAAGAGTTCCCTGTGGTAGCGATCATTCAACCTAAGATTGGACGATTATCCCTCCCTACCACGAGGAGATATATCGGGACCAGAACCACAACACCGGTATCACACCTTCTCGCCGGTATCTGGAGTTACCCGGCATCTAGGGCGGGGAGGAATTCAAGCGTCGGACTCGCCCACTTGATCTCGTGGATACGAAGGGCCCGCGACCGGAGCAAGAGGCGGGGATACTGGCGGTTTGTTTTGCACGGTACAAATGACCTTTTCCATATAGGCTGGACGGCATGGTGGTCCTCCGATTCACAGCGCGGCATTGAGAGAATCGATGGTAAAGTTACCGAGTTCTTTAAGCGGTCACCAGTCATTGATATAATGCAAGCTTATTCGTGAATTTCATGCTGCCGGTACTTCATACTCGAGTATGATGCCGGTACCGGCATGCGATAGGCATAAGAGCGGATGCAGCCCAGGTCACAACCCGCCGTATCTCGTCTTGCCGTGCTGGGGTTGCTCGCGATACTATCATACCTTGTTAGGCCGGACCTAGACTACCGTGAATCTTCCAAATTTCCTAGTATGATATCATACTAACATACCATATACCGATACCGCTATTTTCATCGCGGCAGACTTCCCCCCGTCACCCTGTGGGTCCCGTCAGGCCGGCGGTCGCTTGGCGCTTGGTGTGGCCACAGGCATGGGCCACCTCTCTACCGATAAGTGATTGTTTACGCGTTACCTTCAGCTCCATACTTCCACTACCACCACTCGCCCCGAGTCAGAAGTACCGAAAATAGGGTGAGTGTTCTTGTGCCGGTAGTTTGTATTGGCGCCCGGATTGGCACATTTTTTTTGCCCTATATTTCGCAAATCCCTGCCCCCAGGTACTCGAGCTCGAGTACTTAGGGCTTGGGACAAGCATGCCACTACCGTTACTATAATACCGGTCCGATACCATGCCGGCATTGTTATGCGGTCCTCCTATCACTGCATATTTCACCGCGCTCCGACAGATGTCAGATCAAACAGCCTACGCATCGCTATCTGATCGGGCGTTATGTGAATCCAGGCCATTTCGTATAAGATCTCTGCATCGATCGAGGCCTAGGGACCTTGTACCGGTACAAGCAGCTGAATTCCGTGCTCATTTCGGTCAGCTTACATCGGGTTGGGGGATTTGAAAAAAACTAAAAAAAACTGATATAACACCACAAAAAGCAAGCCTTGTATGATATTATGTGACTGTAGGTACAGGCCCTCCTCCCCCAATCATGCACCGAGTTTGATTAAGCACAAAATCCTGATGACCAAGTTTTAGCACTGGCCATTAAGCCAAAGTCCGGCATATGTGAAATTACTGCTCGTGCAAACAACCAGCGCCACTCATGCTAAGTCGTATGCGGGGTAGTCCAGTCCAGGGCAAGCATATTAGTGGAGTATGGCTAGAATCCAATATTCTCCAAAGCTCAGTGCTATGATATGATAGTACGGTACGCACCGCACACAGCCAGAGTGCCAGACCTAGGGTGCGACCTTCTCCGTAAACTTGAATACAGACATGTCTTTTCCCCAACCTCATTTCAAACTTCTTGTTGAAGCCACGGTCGCCTACTGACGATTGGTCTGTGCCCTTAGAAGGCGTTATTAGATAATGCTTAATAAAAACGGTGGAATACAGACACACAAGTTGTGCAACACATGCCTGCAAGACCCCGACTGGTTTGTTGAAGGCTGCCCATTGGCCCCACGGGATAGCCACCAATAATATCTCACCGGAACCTATATGTCAGCGCGGGGGTGTTTCATATCTCTCTCCAGTCTTTTCATGTTAGGCTGGTATCATATTCGAGGGCGTGATACCGGTACGGAAAGGCAGAGACCGCTAGCTCTTCCGATCCCTTATCTATGATTTCCATTGACACGGTCGGGAGCTAATGGTTTACGCGCATTCCCCCGTGGGGTATGGGCTTGTGCGGGCGTAAGGGTCTCCCTGTCCTCTAAAGCCTCCCTCCGTGCCTGCTGCTCGTAGCAGGCAAGAAGGAGCTGATAACACGCATTCGAGATACCAGTATATGGCGAAGAGTCCGTGCGTATCCAAGGGTCCATACAAACTCAAAATTCGTATGATCTCAAGGAGGGGTAGTACGAACCTAGCTACGTGGAGGGGGGAGATCTTCTCCCGGAGTTTTCTCTGGCTTCAAATTGCCGTGTGTTGGATTTGCCAACTGCAGTAGCACTCAGTTCCACTATGCGTTTTAAAGTTACCCGAGTAACGGTTAGTTATCGTTGCAATATCGAGTGATATTATGTGAAGTAGAGCGTGTGCTAATCTTCAGAGCAAAGGCTGCGAATGGAAAAACGGCAATAAAAAAAAACTCTCTTAATATGCCCGGAGCGCCTTTAAGGGGAGCTTGGGTCTTTCCGTCCTGAGAATTCTCATTGGGCTAAGTGGACCCCTCAGAGCCAAGGGCTGCGGGTAGCCTCAAGGGGCATCAACCAAGATTCAATTCCTTTGGTTCTCCGGAGTGTTTCATCCATATCAATCGTAGCATCATTTCTCTTCTCATCCCATCTTTAGCCGAACTGCGGTATCAAATCACTCTCGGTGTTTGGACTTTTCCCGTTCTTATCATGTGCATAGGGGTGCTCGATTAGCGTGGTCTAGATGCCTGCTCGAACAGCGGATTGGGCTGCAAGCCAAGAAATGTTGGCATCTCCGTTTCCCCAGATATTTCGACCACTCAGGTCGAAGGGGAAATAGGAAGAATTACCTTCGGCCCGATTGGCCTCGGATCACGATTGAGACATTGGGGGTGGGGTACCCGCACACGGCCAGGGGAATTGTGGCGGGTGGAAGGTTCCCGATTCTGCTGTTTGGGCTGCCTACCCTACAGCTCGCTGTATGCGCACTTCAGAGATTTCGGCTTCATATGGCATTCCGCAGATTCCCGTTCCGTTCCCCTCGCCTCTTTGGACCCTGGAATCAGGCGGTATTTATGGATTTGATAAGAAGGGGAAGCCCCCAAAGACCTGTCTGAGCCCCAGAATGCAAGAACATTGTGAGACAAAGAAACCCAATGCCGAGATAGGCCCGGGCTCATGTCCTCCATGGTTCTCCACACTAGAAACCCAAACTGATTAGTTCAATCGAGGAACTGGCACGTACCGTACGCCACTTGCCGGAGGGGGGCTGGGTTAACCATGTTCACACCGCGTGAAAAAAGCACTGATTTCTCAACTTCTCACGATTCTCAAAACTTGGTAGCAACACCTTTTGTGAAGCAATTGAAGGTGAAGGCATGAAAGGAAAAAATTTCCATTGGCGCACCGCAGACGTGCTGTTTTGGCGTTGGATACGAGTAGCCACTCCTATTTCGTGGTTCCCGGGGTTTCCTTTTCTTTTTCTTATTCCATATCAATGATTTGGCTTACTGTGTAGTCACCGGTACTTGTTATGACCCCCCCCCTTCCCCAGCAGAATATGACAGTTATTGACGTTATGGTGGCAGCATTGGATGGATTGGGAGTATGATATCGCATTCTTTCTTCACCTTGGCCACAGTCTCGGTGGTTGCTGCAACTCCGCCCCTAACCCTAATTTCGTGTGCTGGCAACACAACAGCAACAGATCACGATTCTCATTCCAATCGTCCGGCCAGCCTCAAGGGGGATTGAGCCGCCAATTCGTCTGTCCAAAATGAAATAAAACCGGAACTAACCAAAAAAATCCGATCATATACCAGATTGGGCTTGTATATGGCGAAAGAGGAAAGCACTGGGATTAAAGAGACCCGTTTCTGACATTGCGCGTAAAAACGGGCCGCCAGGCAGAGTTGCAGTTCGGGGGCAAAAAGGTAGGGGCAAAAATGGTGGTTCTCACACTCCGAGTTCTCTCACAATGAATCACACGTCAGCATTCGAACAGCTCCTCGACGCAACCCAGGGGGCCCAATGGCTAATGATAACACCTCCGGGAGTGTTCGGATTATTTTATCTGGGCCTGGAACATTGCTCCTGCATCCGGATAAGAATTTACGATTGGCGAACGCCTCGTTCAATGTTCGAACCTGCGGGTAGGGGATGCTGGAGCTCCGAGCCCCCGAGCCTTTTTTGACTGGAGCGGCCTGCATGCACCATGTGTATTATCTATTGTGTGATAGATGTTATTATTTTATTCAGTCGAAACAAACGGCTAAATTGGATTAAACGAAGCATTTCGTGAAGAAGGAAAGAAGGCGTTTCGGGTACTATATATTATTTGGGCTGAAATAATTTTCCCTCTTATCTTTCGATCATTCACAGCGCTCTGGGCCCAATTCCAGGGTTTGTGATCTAAAACTGGGTCGCTATCGTCGCTTAGTCTCGATAGAAGCATTAGTCTGCATTTCCGGTTTTTTCGATGTCCTTGAGCGGTTTGTTCTCGTTGGCTGATCTCGAGTGGTTGACTGTCAGGAGTTCCCACTCGAACACAAGGGGTGTGGTGGGGGAGTGGGAGCCCGAACCTCCAAAGCAGTAACAACGCAGACTATTCTGACTGCTCAGCGAAATTCTGGGACAATCATTCGTGGATTATCGTGATAGCCTGTCTTTTCTTTTTCCTATCTGCTCAGGGCTTCTCCCCATTGCCTTTCTCGGCCCCCACCAGGCCCCGATCACTACCCTTTTTTCCGGGTCGTGCTCGTGGGCTCTGGTCTTCTGCTTGTTTCCCTCGGGCTTTCGCCTTTCAATTTACTTCACATGTTTTACGAATATCAAACCACTGGCTGCGGACTGCATAGAGGCGGTAGTGGAAGGCTGCGGCGCTGTCTCGATAAACCGCCAATAGCTGTGAAACGTGTGGATTCGCGGAGTGGCGGAATCAGAGCATAGAGGGGTTAAAAGGATTCTTTTCCTCCCCCTCCCCCTCCCCTCCCTCCAATCTATGAGACTTTTTTGAACCTTTGCCGTGCTGCTTCTCCTTTCACTTGTGGCGGTCCGTATGAGGGATATCATTCATATTAACACGATTTCCAAGTTTTAGGTGACCACGGCTTCCGTTATATTTCGGATTCCCCATCTCACTTCCTAAAAACTCTACTCCCCTCTATCATCTGGTGATTCTGGCCCATCTCATCTAAATCTGTCTCGAGCTCGCTTTCCTTGTGTATGGTTTCATACACCTTGTGATGTTTACTGCCCTTGAGTACAAGCCTTTGCAGGACCTTAGGCGATATGTATCGTCACTGGATATGCACCCAGTAGATCTAAAAACTGTGAGTTTGCTTTTTACTACTTCGCGCGTTCATGTTAGAAATTCTCTGATCGAGTGTTTCCAACACGGCCAATCACTGACGTGTCATGATAGGAGACAGATATTTCAACACAAGCCATGGTACCAGGTCAGCTATACGGACGCTGGGATAAGGGCGAAATTTTCCCACTGCCTCGGCCATTACAGAGTCCTCTCAGTAAGGCTGGGGCTGGTGCCGGCCGCTTAGTACCGTCTTCGAAAGAGGCAGACCCCAAAGACTCAATATTCCACTCGACAGAAACTATTTCGGACTCAACAAGAGCACCCCCCCCTATCAATGATGCTTCGGGAACCGGCGCCCCGCGCAGCATCCTGTCATACCCAGGGTTCAGAAGTGTTCGGGAGAAAACTGCAATATCTCCGGGAAGTGTAGTAGAAGCAGTATCTTCGGCCTACCAATACCAAACCAGGCCGGTTTCTGCTGACTCGTTCCCATTGAAGCAGGCAACTTCGATCCGTTCTGCTCTCGGGAACGGGCCGGAATTAGGTTCTCGAGGGAAGGCGCAGTACGGTCCGGCTCCAGACCATTTCGCGCCTCCAAAGGTGCCTATCGGGTCGCCGTTAGCCCCCTCAAACGGACAGCAGGTGGCTTCGACACACCAATACATGCCAACCAGGCAATACCATTCACGCTCTTGGAGTCCCCCGGTGCCTAGGAAGCAGCACGATGGGATTGATCTGGATCCTCTGTACCATACCACTATTAGCAAATGCTTTGAATGTCTTCAAATCTCGCCATCAAAACTCAAGAACAACTTTACTATCGGAATGCGTAGTTCCACCAACTCATCGCAGGGATTCCCCTCATTCTTAACCAATAAACCATGGGTTTTCACCATGCTTGGCAGAGCCTCGTCTTTTCCCACTTTTTTTCCGTTGAAGGCCGAGACTTTGGCTCCTCTTGGCAGTCCTGCCATTGGGGCATTCATCCACCCCCGCCACCGTACCTATTTCCATCAGTTCTTAAGGAACTCTATTGTGAAGAGGATTGAGGTCTCTACTGAGATCAAGGAGACCGCGTGTGAGATTGCAAAAGGTATAAGGGCTTCACCTACACCAATGCCGCCGAGTACTTACCCAAGACATTTATTAGACGGTGTGGCGTTGGAAGGGGGTAATGACAACGTGGACAAGATCGTGGACCTTGGGCAAAATGATGAACTTGATATCCCTAACCGACCCACTCCCGCTCATTGCCCGGAGGGGTCAGCCGTTTCTACCCGCGTGGTGGAGGAATCGGGCACCGACGAATCAATTCAAGTGTTAACTCCGACTTTTCATAAGAACGATAATCGTGTAATTGAACTTGATCCAGATACCGAAAAGTGCAATGTTGCTAAGACGGTGAGTAGCCGTAGCAGGGCATCCGAAATTAATTAACGTCGTGGCTAATTTTGTCCCGTCGTTTTCAGGCACTATCTAACCACCGTAGGACCAATACCCTCCGATATACTGTCCGCCAGCGGACCTCATTGTTCAAGCCAGCCTCAGTAAAAAGTGATTTCACATTCGCCGTTGAGATAATTCCAAGACCAGTGAAGCGCAAGCACAACTCAAAGGAGGACGGGACGGAAAAGGCGTCGCGCAAACGGACCAGAGATAACTCGGTAGAGTCCAGCGTCCCCAGCCCTAGGAACTCTATTGCATCAAGACTCAACATCCTCATCGACAACGCGGAAAAAAGGCAAGCTAAATTGAACTCTCCAGGGCGGGAATTGATTCTATCTCCTATAAATACCCAATGTATCCAAATCACCGAGCATCTGGTTACCGAACCACTCTTGTCAAGATCAATCCCGGATTCCCCAGTTACACCTAGGTCTTTCACCGAATCTACTGCTCGATCGTCTACCCATTCAGTGAGCTCTACCGGTACAAGTCTCACCATCCCATACTCTCAAGCTTCGGCATCAGCTTCTCGCAAGCGGCTCACCTCAACGGCCTGGGAGGAGGAAGAGCAACTACGGGGTCGCCAGTCAAGGAGGGCCCAGAACGAGAGCAGGTATCTCTGCGTCCCCGGCTCCAGCCTGAGACGAAGCCGCTCCGCCGGTGCCATCGATTTAGAACGCCCGAATGAATACTCCATTGAGCGAACCCACCGAAGGAGCCTAAGCACGAATTCAATGCTGACAAAGTATGCACCAATGTTCCAACAACCCACCGTCATCTCTACTCTCGAGTCGCAGGACCTCGAAATTGAAGAAACCCCCAGTTCCTCAGGATCATCTAGCTTCTTCGAGCCAACCGAACCCGAAAATCGATTCATTTCTTCCGCACCAGCGCTACCTCATGCTACTCTCCCGACCCCGGAGGTCAAGCTAGAGGATACAAAAAAGGACTCGGCACAAAAGAAGGGCTTCAGACGAATCTCTTACCTCGGCCAATCAAAATCGCACAAATCAGTCACTGCCCGGGTCTCGGAGCCATCAACCACCGCAGTGGTATCAGAAACAGAGGACGCCACTAACAAGAAGAAGAAGTTCCAAAAGCTGAAAAATAGAGTTAAGGGAATTACCAAAAAAGTGAGCCATGTGATAAAGAAGGAGAAGTACTAAAAAAAAGCGAAAATTTTCGTCTCTATAGGCATTTATTTGGAGTTTCCTATTTTATTTTATTTTACTCTTTTTTTGCCATTACACAATAGGTAGATCAAAAAGTTGCTCAAAGGAGTTTATTTCTGTTTATCCTCATTATCATTTTCATATTTCGGCGTTTTTCCCTCTGTTTCTCTCTCCTATGATACTTTTCCAATTGCTGACGGGTTGTACATTTGCATATCATACCCCATTGGGAAGGCGTTTGTTTTTAATTGTTTCTCTCTTCCTCTCACTCTACTTGTATCCCACGCTCTCCCCCCATCCCACAATTTTCTTATCCGGCACGACGGGAAAGAAGGCGGGACAAGGTCAAAGAAGGGGTAAAAACAAAAAAGAAAAAAAAGGAAAAAACTTTTTGCATTCAATATTTCATCACGACGGATAACAACTTTTCCCTTCTTTCTTGTTCCCGCTTCTTTTTTTTTTTTTTCATTAAATTTTTTCATCCCATTTTCCCCCACTTTTCCCAGCGCGCTCTTCTCTCCACTCCGCTCCATCATCATTCTCCATCTAAATTGCATTTAAAAGGGCGGCATTGGTTCATTCCCCTTCATTATATCATATCACATTAAACGGCTAGGAGTTTGCATACATATCCATTACAACTTTATTCACTCATAATCATCATCACAGCACAGCATAACAATTGCATGAGAAATATATTACTACGACCATCATCACTCTGAGAAAAGCGAATGAAATGGCAATGGTAAAAAATTCACCACGATATTATGAAACCGCCAGTTCAAGTTCCCCCGTGAACGTTGTCCCCCTCTATCATACTGTGACGGCAAGGGCAGTCTACTCTACTGGTACTCGTTGCGTGCCCACCCAACCCCACCCACCCATCAAAAACGTTCAACTTTGACCCTACCTGCCGTTGAGGCGAGGCGAGGTGAGGTGAGGTGAGGTGGGCCCGGAGTGAAGGTGCGGGGTATAACCCGCCCGACCAATCGGATGCAACTGATAAAAACAGTAAAGAAGTGGAAAAAAACAAAAAAACAAAAACAAAAAAAATGTGCATCACGCTGCTTTAACATTCACTCTCGCTCTGTTCCTCCTTTCTTCCCTCACTGTTCCAGCTGTCCGCCGTGATTATCGTACTCGCTCGCATTCCCCGGTTGTAAGACACAGTTATTTACCGGCATGTTACTGTATCTGTCATCTATCTGTCATGTATATAATATGTATGTACAAGTATGATGCTGTGCGCGCAGACTTTATTCAGTTTTTGCCGCTTAGGAATGTGGTGGTGGGGGTTGTGGGTGGGGGATAAGGATTGGGGTGGCGAAGGGCGGGCGGACGGGAGGGGCGGGAGGCGAGGGGAGGAAGGTTAGTTAAGTTATCGATGGAAGGGGTATATCAGTTATCTCTCGGTCGGCTGTCGGGTGTTATTCGAGTGAGGGGTTGTGATCTCGTGCTTGTGGTTTGGGTTTTGGGGGAATTGAGTTGATGTCTGTGAGAAGGGAGGCCGGTATGATATCATAGTCGGGTATCATACTTGGAGTGTTAGACGGGGGGTTGGTGGGTTCATGGCTATGATACTTCTGTCATATCGTCATACCAGTATTACTGTTACTATTTACTGGTAAGTTATCATACTTCCACGAATGTTAATATCTTGGTGAAAGTGTGCGCAGAGCCTCGGTCACAGTGCAAGTATCATAATAATAGTGCAGTACAGTGCAGCGCAGCTCAACGTATCATACTTGTACTGTACTATACCGTTAGACCTGGAAGGCACGGGGGGGAGCATCAGAAGAGCCTCGACATGGACAGAGAAGAGAAAGACAGAGTACATTTCCCGCTGGTCATCCCACTTCCACTCTCGCGCGGTAAAGTGTAGTGTATAAGAGCTCCCACTCGTCTCCCGGAAATAGCACAAACTCACCACTTCCACCACCGGCACTTGTACTCGTACAAAAGCCTCACAAAAAAACAAAAAAAACAACAACCCCCCTATGATACTTCATTCGCCAACCACCCGCACTAACCAGAGGGCTTGCGCGGTGAGACCTAGGTAGGTGGTCTTAATATAAGTTAACAACAAGGCTTGTCCACCTGGTTCTCTAAGGTGTCGAAAGGCTGGAGTTCAAGAAATTCAACAATTGTCGGGGGTTCTGATGGGCTGCTGATGGGAAGTATCATAAGTGGCAAAAAAACCCCAGCCTCCAAGTTATCAACATTGGTATTAACTCCCACTTACCATAGGTCCGCCTGCACAAAAACTCTCTACTCGTACATACTAAATTACCGGTAACGGTATCAAGCACCCGAACTTCCAGCCAGAAGGCACCATAACAAACCAACAGGCACCAAATCAATTTAAAAAAAACCGCGCACTCATCCATTCATCCTCCCACGAAACCACCCCTTTTTCAAATCAAATGCCACCCCTCAGCGAAGAGCGTATCATCATATAACATCTCACGATTCTCCATGTTGGAGAGGGTTCGTTCCACTCTGCGACTCTCGGGAACAGAGGAAAGTCGACCCGTGGAAAGCCTTTTTTTATTTTTTTTTAAATCATGTCCCGGGCCAACCTCGTGCACGTGGTGACGTCGATGTTTGCTCGGTCAGAGGAATGCCTTGGCTGGCCTTACGAGATCGGTTGTTGGCGATTACGGTGAATCGATGGGGGGGGATGGGAGTTTCGTGGCGGTTTTTATGTGGTACGGTACATCATAAGCTGTGATGGTGAGTGAAACTGGAGTTTCAGGGATGGCTTTTTCACGGAAGAGTCGGGAGGTTGGGTGGCGGTGGGGATCTTTTTTTCCCCCCACCCCGCTTCTGGTTGGGTGGTGGGAGTGTGGGACCGATCATGCGGTATCACTCGATCGAGTTTTGTGCTCGAGGATTGACTCAGGGGCGGGAGAGCATCATACCGCAGCAGATGTGATGGTAGGGGTGGGCGGTTGTTATCCTTTATGTGCCTGATGGCGTGGCCCCGGCGCTTGCTTGGAAAAACGAATAAAAATATCGTAGGAGTAAACCGCTTTTTGCAAAGTTACCCACTATTGGTGAGGTCCTTTGTTGTGGCTTGGGAACATTCTATATATAGCACTTTCTGATCACCCGTAGGGACGCAGGTGGATCCGGAGAAAAATTTGGAGCGGAAGTCATGTATCGACAGTATCACAACGATGCCAGAGTACCGGTATTCAAATCTTGGGTCTAGCTTCGAGCCGGCGAGCACTTCAGAGCATTGCCCAACGCTGATGAGCTCACACCCAACCCCGGACAACAAGGAGGACAGATAAACAAGATTTCAACCTCTCCATCCCTACATTCGCCTAAGGAGGAGAGATTAATAGAGGGAGACAAAAGAGCCCAGCACCCAGGATTCCCTACCGTAGTGCAGTATTAACCGGCCAAAACGACCTCACGTTTACCGCAGACCACAAAATACAAAATTTTCATCATTTCGCGCGCGAACACATTCACGTGCACATTTCAACCCCACGGCAGAGAAGCTACAAATCTTCACCTTGAAGCAGAGTTGGCGATGGATGGAGGGTTCAAGCTTGATTTGAAGGTGCTCTTGGAGGGATCCCCTCCCACGCCCTAGATGGGGTACCGGTAGCTCTTACTTACTTACCGGTATAGCTTGCCCAGAATTTGAAATCCCAGTGGGTAGAACGAGCGGAGATGTGAACCAAGAGAGACAATTGCCAGAACGGGGTATTTTTTCTTATTTTTTCCCCTTCTCCCTCCTTTTGATATAGTCAGTAGTATCATGCTTTTTGAGTCGAGGAAAAGTGGGATGTATTATCATATCGTGGGAGGTCTTTCCGAGAGATTTGTAAGCAAATCGTGGCATGAGGCGCTAATTGTGGAGGTTGGGAAGATTGTATGATCTTATAACATATGTTTATCATACCAGCACAGTCGCTACGCCTGGCTTGTTATCCCCGGCACCCAGATGGTTCTTCATCACTAATATTATCATAGCAGTTCACTATTAACTCTAGTTAGTTTATTACTACCATTATTATTTTCTACCCTCTTTCATAATCCTATATTTACAGAAAAATAATAATAATAATGCTATGTATGATACAGTAGTATGACGAATCCTAACTCTGACTTGACTCCGATTCGGGCATGTATGATAACTACCTATCAGTCATTAACATAGAGGAGAGGGGGAAAAAAGGGAGGTGGAGCTTCCAGAAGTTCCTTCGATCCACTACTGCTCAGGCCACTAATTACCATCTTAGGCCCAATTACGGCACCATATCCCGCTACAGTCAAATGATTCCCACCAACCATGGAACTCGAACTTGTGAAATATCGAGCTAGGGAGGGCGTTGCAGGTCCCTCTGCTAGTGGTATCATATCGTGCGGTTCTTTACTATCATCATATCATACTTTTAGTTATTCTATACTATAGATATGGATGGATCTTCCTATAAGCTAGGTATCTATCTGGTCCTCGTACTTTTATACTAGATGATTCCTGCCGGAGAAAATAGTAAATAAATAAATCAAATATGGTATGGGAGAGTATTTGAGGATCGATTACAGGACAGTGAGAATCATCATCAAGATTGTGGGAACTGTTGACTATTAACAGGGACTTTTACTTCTTTGTTGTTAAAAAAAAAACCCTCTCGATAATAGGATTATATATACATGTACATGCTCAGAAAATGGAAGTTGAGCACTTGCACTTCCTGTCGATATTATCTATTGCTTACTTGTCCATTAACTAGCATGCTATAGTATCAGTTCCGATTAGTAACACTTGTTTTTTTGTTTTTTTTCAAAGTTTTTAATTGCAAGACGTACTTAAATCTTGTACTCGAGTATTATAATGTTCGATTTTATCTTACTTTACTCATTTGTGTGTCATACATAGCAAGCAAGCAAGCAAGCAAGCAAGCAGACAGACCCACCGAATTAGCCTAAAGATAGAATTTTTTTACTCCCCTTTTTTTTTAAATAATAATAATAATACCACCGGCCGGTGTCTACAGTCTATTCCTAACCTTTTATCCTTCGAGTTCCTGAATAGTAGAGTGAAGGTCTGCATCGTACCTGAACTGCGCCAAAATGTCACCAAACCGTGCGAAGCCTATATACTACTAGTACACAGCCTCTGTATATGATAGCACGGGAACAGAAACCAAACCACGAACCCCATCACCCCCAGTTTCGGATCCGGATTTGAGGATGCAGTGGAGGTTCTAGGCGCCCAGTTCGAGCAATGTGAGGGTAACGAGGCTAGGGCGGTCCCGGTATGGCTGCAGTAAATTAACAGTTTGGTGAAGTCCCGTAACTACGAGGATTGCGCAATCGACAAAAAAAGCCACTTGGTGAGATGTGGGAATGGTTTTCCCGAACCGGGCTAGAGATCTCGGTAGGTATTCTGATCGTCGGGCGGCATAGAGCTCAGGATGGATGGATGCAGGGGGAAACGGTAATGGTACAAGTACAGCCGTGCCCTGATACCCGCACAGGCATATTTCATCAGTACCAATGTGAGGTGACGAAGGTTTTAAAAGTCTTCTAGTCATGTTTTACAGGTTTTTACCCATAGAATTTTCTGTTTGGGATGAGGCTTAGCAGGTGGAAATTTTTCACTTGGAGGCATGGCCTTGCCTTCCTCAGAGAGAGAGGAGGAATGAAGCATGAAGGACCCATCCTGTACAATCACCTACATCACCTTCTTTTCTGTTGTTTCTGGATGCTATTTCCCCACTCTTTTTATCTTGCTTTCTCACTGTGTTTTACTGTCAATTCTATCAGCATAATTCTATGCTCTTATCCAATTGAATATAACACCATATGGTCAACCATATTGCAGAGGCATCAGCTTGGTCAATCACACCATCCAAATTACGGAAGTCAACAGAGACATTTCCACCCGGTAGTATGATATGACATCATACGACTTCGGGAAGTAAGAGACCTATCTAGAGCTCGAGGGCACAAAGGGTTCAAACTATCGTGCCGGATATGATATGTTCTCAACGATTAAAGCTCTGGAACCGTAGCAGACTCCTGCAACTGACTAACTCAGCCCCAATGGCAAATCAGGAAACCGGGCTTTGTCATGAACAGAACACCGATGACATAAAGTATCGTAACATCGAAGAGGGTGGGATAAAAATAAGAAGAGTCAGCGTAAGTAAATCACCAAGTATAAGCTAGCAACAATTGCTGGCCAAGGATGGACGATTAAAACGCATAGAGGAGCACGGGATTCAATCCCCGCCCTCCTCATTCCTCCGACTATTAAGATCTTCATTAATCGCTTAATTCAGACAGTAGTACGGTGGATAAGGATCACGGAACCATCAATGCCACCCCAAACACGACAAAACGCCCCTTCAGGGAGACATATCATTGCACCGGTGCGAATACGGTGGTATCCATCGGCCAGAGGTGGCAAAATCAGTATGTATAATACATACTGTACTCGTACTCGCACAAGGACAGCAAATAAGGCAAGGGCAAACACGCCCCCAGCGCAAACCCATCGGCCTTATGAATAGTTTGACCATCCAATAGAAAGGCAAACCGTATTTGTAATGTGGGGAGCTGGAGTGTTGATACATGATCGACCGTTCGCCGGTGTGTTGGTTTGCCCCCGAAGATTACCCCCTGGCGGATACCCTCGGCTCAATAGGGAATGTCTGCAAAGGTATGAAAAGTACGGTACGGGTATACGGCGCACCCGATGCCGTGGTGACCCTCCAAATTCGACCCACCGCTAGAGTGCACAGGCCTGGAAAAGCGCTGGTTAGCCCATGCGATTCAAAGAAGAGAGTAAACAGGATTCATGGCTGGAGACCACGACCGTTTATCCAGTGGGCAAAAAAACTCTGGAAAATCAGGAAAGCTAGGAAGAAAAGGCAGACAGCAGTAAAATAGAATCGGTTTACAATCTGTCAACCCGAATATGCCAGCAACGAGATCAGAAAAGCCCGGCGGACGAAGGAACATCACGGACCGAATAGCACAGTTTCCCCGATAACTACTTTAGCCCACATTAAATATGCAATGCTAATCCGCGGTCGAGCCCAGCGCCTCCTAGCGGCGGGCCGAATTTGAGGAGGCAAAAGGGTATGTACTCGAGTAAAGCATAATGCCCTACGAGTACCCTCTGCGGTATGATATGTTACGATACTTTCCCTATATCGTATCGAGGCCCCCAATGAATAGCAAAAGTCTGCCCTGATTTGTCTGTATGTTAGCGGGGTATCAATGATCGCGGGAGCCCTTTTGTGCTTTCTTTACTTTTGCCTGGTCCCTTGCAGAAGATGGACTGGTACCGAAACGGGACGGAGAAGGGAGAGCATGGATTGTCTTCGGGGTCAGATTTTGTCGTTTGTGACAAGATTTTGGGCATGCCGCCGCCACGTTGCCAGCGTGATTGAGCCCGTGCGGCGCGTGATGTTATTCGGCGTGATGGGCTCGGCTTCCCTAGGGAACAGAATAGAGAGAGAGCAAACCACTGGCTAGAAAACCTCGTTACATGAGAAGAACAGAATTGTGAATCCATCCGGGTGATTGGAAGTTTTATAAAGCTCCTCAGCTATGATACAGGTACGGATGGAATGTTTATCTAGAAATATCTATCGTGTGAGCTCGGCCATCCATTTTCCCTTTCGGAGGACGGAACATCTGCCGGTTGCTTCTCTAGCATATGAACCTGTGGTCCCTTTGCTTACTAACGGACCTCGGGCCAACACACTTGTAGCGCCCAGAAAAACATTCCCCCAACACACACACCGATTTCCTTCAGAGCTCTCCCAATAGTCCTCTGAAATCCCACCCCTCAATCCTCCTCCTCAGCAGAATAAACACACCGATTATAGTAGCAACTAAGCCCTATTCCTCATTCTCCTCTTCAACACCATCTCGTCTCTCTACAGCTCCCTTACTTCCACTGCTTCAAAAAAGGGCGGTTGAACGGCCAAACCCCTCCCCCTCCTTACAACTCGACCAGCCCACTTGTTTGATCGAAATATAAAAAAAATAAAAAACAACAATCATGTCTTTCGGCGGTGCTGAGTGTTCAACCGGACGCAACCCTCTTGCTCAGTTCACCAAACATGTCAGCAAGGACAAGAGTCTCGAGAGAGATCGCTTAGGTAGCCTCCCTGTGGGGCCCGAACTTGGTGGTTTGCGAACGGTAGGAGGTGAGATGGCGGGAGCGGACAAGCAGGTTAGTATTCACCACCGGAAACCTGACAATCCTAACCCAAAGACCCCTCTGGCTAATGACCACAGATGATGGATGAATTCTACAGCCAACAATCCGGAGCGTCCCCCTTCGCTTTCGAATCAATGCGGCGAGAGCTCTCGGATCTGCAGCATGGACCAGCGCCCATGGCAGGCCAACCCTGGGCCCCCGAATTTGGGCCCCAGCAAGCCATGAACCCTCAGGAGCAAGCTATGATGGAAGCTGCGTTTGTCTCCAGAAACGGATCTAGTGAATTCAGCACAGCTGAATTTGCTCGCTTCCAGAATTCCTCTCCCTCTGTCGATGTCAGGATGGCTCCACCAGCCCCAACTCAAGCGGCCTCGACTCCCTACTACCAGCAATTCCGCGGATACAATAATTTCAACCAGGGCTTACCGTTCCAAGTCCACCAGCCCATGATCCAGCAATTACAGACGCAAAACCAACAGCAGGACCTGAAGGGCAAGGGGAAGCAGGTTGTGGAGCTATCGGATGAAAACTGGGAATCCCAGTTCAAGGAAATGGAGGCCATGAACAAGCCTTTGGATGTGGACGATCAAGCAAACAAGGATATTGAGGCCGAGCTAAACTCTCAACCAGAGACCATGTATGGTGATTTTCAGTCGGTATGGGAAGGGATTCAAGCCGAGACTGGTGGCGTTGCTTTGGATGGAGTGGACTGGCAAAATGAGTTCGACACATCAAATCCCTGGTCCGCCGAGGCCTCGGCTACAAACTCTATGCCCAATCTAGGCGAATATCTCTTCGAGGTGGATAACCCATTCCTAATGCATGGAGATCCATTCTCTGAAGGAAAGAGGCTTGTGGAATCTGGTGGAAATCTTTCTTTGGCAGCGCTCGCTTTCGAAGCGGCTGTCCAGAAGGATAAGAATCATGTTGAGGCATGGACGGAGCTTGGAGGATGTCAGGCCGCAAACGAGAAGGAGACGCCAGCCATCCGGGCCTTGGAGGCAGCGCTGAAGCTTGACGAAGCCAATCTCGGTGCGTTGATGGGACTTGCGGTATCTTATACCAATGAGGGATACGATTCAACGGCATACTCCACATTGGAACGTTGGCTCGCAACCAAATATCCTCAAGTAACCGAGCAAGCGCCCCCTGCACCCACCTCAACACTTGATCGGATGGCGATTCACGAGCGGGTTACGAATCTTTTTATCCAAGCAGCTCAACTCTCTCCAGAAGGAACAGCCATGGATTCGGACGTTCAGGTCGGTTTGGGTGTTCTCTTCTATGGCGCTGAGGAGTACGACAAAGCCGTCGACTGCTTCTCGGCAGCATTGACATCTACTTCAACCGGTTCTTCGTCACCCGAACACCTTCTATGGAATCGCCTCGGCGCAACACTTGCAAATAGCGGACGATCGGAAGAAGCTATCAATGCATACGAGCGAGCCTTGACCATAAACCCGAACTTTGTCCGTGCAAGGTACAATCTAGGAGTATCATGTATCAACATTGGATGTTACGAGCAGGCAGCAGAGCACCTCCTCGGTGCCCTCGCCATGCACAAAGTCGCAGAAGAGAAGGCAAGACAAGACTTCACCGAAGTTGGACTCGACCCTGCTCGCATCGTACAGAACCAGAGCACCAATCTCTTCGATACCCTCAGGCGTGTATTCAGTCAGATGGGTCGTAGGGACTTGGCCGAGCTGGTGACCAATGGCATGGATATTGATGTTTTCAGGTTTGTCTCTTTTGCCCCTTCCTCCATTCCACGGCCAACAACATACATTGATGCACGTCACAGGAAGGAATTCGAATTTTAGACACGGGCTGGCGATCAATGGGTGCTCAACCTTTTTTTTGGTGGTGATGACGAGGGCGGGTGGCTGTTCTATCATATCTGCTTTCTTTGTTTTCTTCTTCTACATTCTACATTGTTGTATACCTGCATGGTACGGAGAGTTTGCTACAGGGGCGAGATTTTTGCGATTTATAATTGCCATCGGTGGCATGGGGGCTATAGCTAGTTCGACATAAAATTCGTCATTTTGCGCAGAGCAGAATAAACCATAAATGAACGGATACGCTCGAGTGAGCAGTTGTGATTAGTACGAAGCGAGTGAGGAAGTGTGATATTAAAGTCCGGTGCTAACCTCTGGAGGGCGATGGGTACGGTACTGTTGTCCGAGGCACGGGGATACCCGTTATGAAGGGGTGCCAGAGCTGACTTTTAAAGGTGGCTGCTGTTGCCGATCCCGTCCCATCTCATTTCCCCTCGCCCCAAGCCAAAATCAGTCCGCGAAGGGAATACCGTAAGTTAAAGAAGAAAAAAGGAGGAAACCTGATACAAGCACCGTGTGATACCGGTGGGAGAGGGCAATCCCTCTCCTTCACGCCTCCAAACCCAATTTACAACGGCCCCGTTTCAAGTAGCGAATCCCAAATCGACTCTCCCTACCGTAGAGCGAAAATCAACAGCAAACTCTCCGCAACAGCAAGGCTGTTTGAGAGCCGGACGAACGAGCCCCATAACCACCCGGGGTCAGCCCCTCTTTCAATTCTATGGACTCTAATATTTTTATTGAGTGAGGCACCGGCTGAGAACTGTACTCGAGTACTCGAGTAAGGTGTGCATTTCCCTGCATGAGAATAGATATGCAAATTCATGCTGCCGTGCCGGTAGGGCACTGATTTTAGTATGTATGTATTACTAAATAAATCGATAGGGAAAACGGGCTGGTTTGGGTGTCCGACACTGCTGTGATAGCATGATATCGTATAAGTTACAAGTATCCATCCCCTTCATAGAAGCCAGAAACCTTCAGAGAGAAAAAAGAATGCCTGGGGAAACCCCGCCCCCCGTTGTCTAAGTTATAATATCCAACAAAGGTTCAGTACGAGTGCTGTGCGGCACATACCCCAGCAACCGAGTCTTGGCGTAACCCCACACTGCACCCTAACGCAACCTCCCTCCCTCCCTCTCTTTTCTCTCTGCTCTCCCCCCTTTACGGTAGTCCCTCACCTTCCCCCCCTCACCGCACTGGGAGGTACATAACTTGCATATTCCATCCAACCTTCACCTCGCCTCCCATTCCAACTCAACTCTCTGTTCTTCCTCTTCTTTCCTTCTCTTCCTTTCTTCCCTTCTTTTCATCTTCACTTCACCATCGGCAGGCAACAATACCAACATTCAGTCACAATGGCACACGTAATGGAACACCCAGACACCACAAACCCAACGGCTTTCGACCCCTACTCAACAAACGATATATTCCTCCTTACAAGCTTGACCTCGGGGTCTTCCGCTATCATCACGGCAACCAGTCGTCTTGAGCATCTTCTCAAGTCACATAAAATTCCCTTCAAGCCAGTAGATCTGGCCACCGATGTACGTGCGCGCCGGATCTGGTCTAACAAGGGGAATGGTCGTAGACTACCTGGTGTAGCTAGAGACGGTGAGATCTTGGGTGTAAGTTTCCTTCCTAAATCCATCGATGTGTTCTCATTCGCAGGCGAGAAAGTTTGGGCTAACGAAGGGGATGACATAGAACTTCGAAGAACTAGAGGAGTGGAATGAGTACGGGGAGCTCAAACAGAGGCTCGGAATCAAGAAGACCAAGAAGAAGAAGAAGAAGGCTGACAGCGAGAAGAAAGGGGAGGGGAAGAACGTTATGGACGGGAGCACAAGCGGGCCGGCTGCTATGGTTGGGTCGAAGCCAAACGCTGAAGCTATGGTTACCCCTGATGGCAGTGGCGCAGGAAGCGGTGCCACTGTTGCTGCTGCTGCCGCCGCGGTCGCGGCGGGCATGAAGAAGGGTAAGGGATTGAAGAGCGCAGTCGAGGGAGTCGAGGGTAAGAAGGAGACTGGGTCAGTCACTGAAACCAAGGGTAATGCCAACGTTGAGGTCGAGACTACGGTTGGCGATGGGGAGTCTTCAGAAAAGGGGAAGGAGGTTGCTAAGGAGGAAATCAGGGCGGAAATACCTGTTCAGGTAGCTGAACCTGTTATCGAAGAAACTGTCTCTGAAGAAAAGGTTGCTGAGCAGAAGGAATTACTAAAGCTCCAGCCCACTATTACCGAAGAGAAGGAAGAACTAAAGTTAGAGGTTGAGGAAGTTACCGAGAAGGATGAGCCAAAGTCCGGATCCGTTACTGAAAGGAAGGTCGCTGAGAAAGTTAGTCCAAGGTCAGTGACTGAAGAAGTTGCGGAAGTAGAACCCGGAGTCGAGGCCGTTCTGGAGGGGGAAGTTATCGCGAAAGAAGAATCAACCGCCGAGACTGCCCCCGGAGAGAAAGTTGTTGAAGAGTGCGGGCCCGAGCCAGAGACTGAGGAACCTGCCAAAACCGAAGAATCGAGGACGCTTAATGAACCAGAGACCGCCGAAGAATCAACCCCTCAGCCTGAGGTAATCGTCCTCATCGAGAAACATGAAGATATAAAGGAACCCGAGGAGGAGGTTCTTGAGAAAGAGGAACCAGCCACAGGGACCAAACCTGAAGAAACCCCTACCCCTACCGAAGCCAAAGAAGAGGACGTAAAGGCTGAGCCTGAGGAGAAAGTCGAACCCAAGGCGGAGGACACTAAGGTTGAAGAAGTCGAGGAGAAAACTGAGCCTGGGTCTGAGGTGAAGGTTGGGGAAACCAAAGGGGAAGTGAAAACCTCTGGGCCCGAGGATAAAGTCGAGAGAGCTAAAGAAGAAGTAAACCCCTCAGAGCCTGGGCCGGAGAATGCAGCTGCCGAAGAAGCTAAGGAGGCAGTGGTTCCTGGGCCTGCCAAGCCTAACGCCGAAGAAGCCAAAGTGGAGAATGTCACCGCACCCGAGGAGCTGAGGGCGGCGGAGGTCGAGGAACAGAAACCTGTTAAGGTCGAGAAGTTAAGAGTGGGTGTCAGGGAAACCAAGGAAGAGGATAGGCCCGCCGAGACCGAAAAGCCCGAGGTTAAGGAAGCCAAAGGGGAGGAAATTCCTGGGCACCCGGGGCCTAAAGAAGTCGGGGCCGGGGCCAAGACGGCGAAGTCCCCGATACCAAAGGAAGAGCCTGCTTCCTCGAAGCCTGCAACACCTAAACCAGTCAAAACAACCCCAGCCCCTACTGAGGCCCCGAAGCCAACTGAAGCATCAAATGCTGCTGAACCGCAAAGACCCAGATCTGAGCCCACCGACACACCCACCCCGGACCCCCCTCAACCCAAAGAAAAGTCGGCAATAGAAATAACCGAAGAAGCCCTTGCAAAGGGTAAGTCCACCCCCCCACCTTCACATAAACCGCAACCCAAAAGAACACCCCCCTATAGTGAACTCACTGAAGACATTACCCTTTCTTCAAGATACCAATACTCCTACTCCTCCTTCCCCCGCGGTGCGATCCCAAGAATGAAAAAAAGAATCACCAAATTGGAAAATGGATAAACCATAATTACACATAGAAAGGAATCCCCACTAATTTTTGAAAACGCCGTCCCGCACTTGGGAATTTTTCTCTGTTTTGCAAAATTATAAAGGCAACCCTCGCAGGACCAGATTTAGGAAGGGGCTTTTGCGAATCCTTAGGATCAAAATACATACTTATCGGACGACCAGAGGAGGAGTTTTGTACGTTGCCAGAAGGCAGAGTTATCGCAG